GTGCTGTATTGTGAAGTGCGAAAGGTAAACGTGAACGACTGAATTCAGTAGCAATGTGATTTTATTGAACTAATCACGGTGAAAATGTTAGAAAAATATGAACCATCAAAACCACATGCATAAGAAAAAGCCGCATATCATATATAAAGATTAACAGCTTAAAATCGTGCATAAGAGTGATTGAGATATTTTTTTAACAAGTTCGTGAGCAAAGGCCTTGTCATAGCAGACGATGCCAAGAGAAGTGCATCAAAAAAGCTTTAACGGGAAAAGCTGCACTGGTACACTTGAGTCTTAACAGCACCCTTCACAATCATGGGTAACGTGATTAGCAGCACCAGTTGAAAGTGTTGCTCAGAGGTTCTCATTTGAATGGTCACAAATCTCTCAGACAAAATGTTAGACCCATTTAACAGCATAATTACAGTAGCACATGAAAGAAACAAGTAGCAGCTCCCATTTGAATGATTACATATAAGTGTTGTACCTTCATTTTCACCACGAAAGCTGCCCTTGATAGCACAAAAATCACGCACGAAAACCCAGATGCATTTTCAAATAACGGTCATCCTATCACTCATATTCTCTTCATTTTACTTCTCCAAACAACCTCACACGGAACATATCTGAAGGTCTAACATCTATACTTTTTTTAAGGTGCACGTATTTCTGTTGAGAAAATCTCGAGGATAAAATTAGCAAATGTTATTTTCAAGCATTTGTGGCGGGCCTTGGTTGAAAAGCATACCGACCTCTTGTAAGCAGTCAAAACAGAGCAAAGGTTATTCTGCGAAAACATGGAGATAAAATCAGTCTGATTGTGCCATACGCTGGTATTTCTTAAATTTCTCCTTTTGGGAAAGCACAACTTAGCGTGCACAGAGAGACACATTTCTAGAGCCTCAATCTAAATTCATGCAAACGAAACTGTATTTCAACTTAGCGCAACACTGCATGAAACGAAGGTTTACTGATGAAAAGGAAAAGTACAACGGACGTCATTACAACTGCATAATGATGACAAATGTGTAACTAGTGCTGATAACAAAACATTCCTTTTCATGTCCCTTGATAAACAAAGTCCTTGCAAGGAAAAGTTAATAAAGTCAAACCTATATTAAGCGGTCACCCACGGGGAATAGCGGTTAATAAAGGTGAAAATTACAGTGATAAAGGAGAAAGAAATTTGGGACTTTGACTTTTTAACACCGGGTGACCGCATAATACGGTGCCGTTTAATACAGGTTCGACTATATTTCCTAGAGCTTTGAATGGTAGTAACAAGATATTCCAGCGTTGGATCACCCTAAGGCCTAAAGGTTAACCCTTTAACCCCTAAGAGTGACTTGCATCTAATTTCTCCTTACAATATCACCACTGAACGACACATTAATGTCATGAGGATAAAGGAAATGATCACCAACTGAAGAAACTCATCAGTGATTGTTAGACAAATTCTCCTTGTCAGCACCTTAGTAAATGTATAGAGAACAGTATGGAGAATATGAATGCCGATACTAAGGTGTAAAGGGTTAATTTAGATTACGAGTGAAGTAGAAAGTTCGGGACTTTTATATTCTTAAATTTACTGGAGTTTAACCCACTGAATAACGACGATTAATTGACCGAAGATTGTTTGCAAATTCCTATATGTCACTTTGGGAGCCTGAAGCGCCAGAGCAAAATCCTGACACCTTTGAGTTACTTGGGCTCTGCACGAAGCCCAACATGCTATCCACAATTATTTCGTTTGCATGTGAGGAACATAAATTTCACAGAGATTGATGCATGAAGGTGTAGCAAGAGGTTATCCTCTTCGCTACACGATCGTCGGAGCATCTTGAAAAACTTAGCCCGGCCAAACTTCTTATGTATGTCATTTGCAATGCGTGTCAATCCAAAGCATCTGTAATCATCCTCAAAGCCTAGTGCTTTTCCATCCTACTGAAATAATACTTTGTAGTTTCCTTGACTATAAAGATAAATTTTCATCTTGGAACAAAAACAAATCAAAACTGTGTCGTGACGTAATGCAATGCTATTTACTCATTTAGGACCACACTTGACGGAGAAAATTTTGAGCGAAGTGACAGCTAATAGCTCTAAAAATACGCTTTGTAAGCAGTTGATAGAGGCCCTAACTATTGTCTTAATTCTTTATGATTGAAGACACGATCGATAATTTGATGACATGAGAATCATTGCTACAACAGATGCAGAAGGGAGATTTTTTTGTTTGTCAATTATGAGACGGCCAAATTTTCAATTATCGCCAATTCCCATTCTTATCTCAACATGTTCTATTCTATTGCAAAGCTCAAAACTCATTATATTCCTTGAGTCAAGTTAGTTCCAGTTGCCTCTCTTGTTGGTCTTGATTCTGTCATTACTTCAATGGGTCAATTTTATTTTATTTTATTTCAACGCAGCGAATTCAACCCGTCTCGTTTATTAAAGACTTAACCATTTTAACGTTAGATAGGTTTAACTCGCCATCAATAACCTGGGCTAATAAGTTAATGTCTACAAGCCCTTACTGGCCTTCCCCTAACTGGCCTTCCAACTTCTTTGTTCCTGAATCCCAACTTTTACGTCTTGAAGCCTCGGGACTATACTCGTAACATCTATCCTTGGACCTCACGCGGAAACATTCCAAAACGTTGACTGTGGTGTACGTTCATTGCAAAGTTTTTGAATTCAGGAAACTAGGTTCACTTCTCTATCCAAATTTTCAATACCGAATGAAATGGTCGCTGATATTAATACATTTATGTATGAAGACCATTACAGATCAATATTTAGACGCATCTAGAGTTATCACTGGTTTGGAAATGAGTCAATCCATTTTACGCGACTGAACAAAAGGAGTGGCTGGGTAGAATCCACTTAACAATAGCTTATTGTCAAAAGATATTTTCCGTGGACAAGTATGGAAAGACCTCAGACGTCTAAGTGCAAACTTTGCCGAAAAAAAAACATCTACGTACGCACAGGAAATACGGAGACACCTGTGGTGATATTTCTCCAATATGGGTTTTGATCGGTGGTGTACTATGCAGATGCCGCAGAAATATATTGATTTAAAGATTTATGAGCGGTAGCCAGTGAATATTTTGTCGTTTCGAAGTTGCAAAGTCTTCATTTAGGGTATTTTTCATGGCAAATGTATGAGACACGATATATCTGATAAGCTATCAGACTGCTATCAGATTTAAAGATCATTTCAGCCCACACAAGTGGAAGGAAGTAATTTCGTCAGGTAAAAAAGTACAGATTTAAGATATGTATGAGGTGTCTCGGATGGGCTTGGAGTGGAAACCGGCAAATTCCACCACGCTTTAATCTTCACTTGGTAATAAAGTGTTCGGGAAAAGGCTGACCTGGAAATTCAAAAGTCATCTTTTTAAATAAATTCGAATTCACAGGTATGACTTCGACCACATCTGAAACAAAGGAAACTGTTGATAGGCGATTAGATCAAGATCTTAAAACTGTTGTCGCCATGTTGTTATACGACAGTCAGTGTAATTTCGAAATTCCAGTCGCCGATGGTGTGGAGTCAGCTTGATACGTTTTACAGATGCTGTTTTTAAAACCAATATCATAAATTATACAATTCTAAAGAGGCAAAGTCTAGGTTTTTTCGCCTGATTAGTTTTGTGGTTTCCCTTTGTAAGCCGGATTGACCACCACTTCCTTCCCGAGGGAGTGTGGGTGAGGGCGAAATGTTCCGTTCATTATTTACACATGAAATCTATTTGAGAAATAAAACATTATTGCACGCGTTGTTCGTCATGTACAACAGTACATAGTGTTCCTTAGAAATAACCTGACAATGTTTGGGGTATTCAATTTCTTAACGTGATTCTTTTTAGCTCTTGATTCCTTGCAAGGAAAGCAGCAAAAAGAGCGTCTTAAAAATTTGCGGTTGCGTCCGACAGGAAAAACAACAAGACCGCGACAAAAAGAGCAACGACAGTAAATTTTTTTACCGCATGGGAGCAAAAACAGTACCTTAACGACCACGAAATACAGGAAATCTCACAAAAAACACCACGGTCTTACGTCATCGCCCACGGAAACCTTAAATCCATCGCAACAAAAGCTGTTTATTCTGGCTCGAAGTTTCGGCGTGTAACTGAACTACAGTGCTTCCAATTCATCACGTTTTTTGTCATTTGTTAAGAAAACCAAATTACCTCCAGCGAGAATAAAACCACAAACCTTAATTTGATAGGAGAAAAAAACACTTAAACGACCAGAACCGACAAAAAAGGGTCAGGGATAATTATGGCCAAGGAAGAGTCTGAGCCACCAATTGTACACCGATTATTTTTTCGCAGACATGATGCGACTGGTAGGTGACTTTCGTGCCCCAGAAAATATTGAATAGCCCTGTTTTGTCTACCGAGTATTTTGAGAGGGTTAACACCCCGGATGTAGGCGATGAAGCGTGTTTAATTGCTGAGAAGGCCATGGGTCGGTTTAGAGAAGATTCATGCGATAAAATGACCAAAGAGTTCACTTATTGTATTGAATCTACTCATTATTAAAAATTACAAATATATTTAGTATCACTTAAGATCTCTATGTATTGTATCAAGTTTTGCCGGTCTTCATTCGAACTTTTCGGGCGGATTGATTGTTCCTTTCTCTATTTTCTGTGACTTACATGAAAATACCTTGTTTATATTTATCTAAGCAGCGTGGCTTATCAAACAAAAACGTGCAAAGAGACTTAAAGGTCTAAGAAATCCATCCCTGTTATTGCCGATTGTAATGGAGACATAAAATGATTCCATCCGTTTCTAGTCAGCCGTTTCTCTTTCCAAATAAGAGATACCGGTATTCGCTTGTTATTTCATAAACTCTTGTTTATAAACCGCTTTGACGATTTAACGGTATAAATTATAAACTGGCTGAACTAATTTAAAGCTCGAATATATTGCAAAAGAAAAACCTCTCCAAGGTCACCGTAAGAAGAATTACGCGTTACTTACCAATCTAGAGATGAAATTCCTTCAATATTCCTCTGCTTTACTTCTACCAGCGTTTTCAATGTGTTCAGTCGCGGCAATTGGTGGCCTCAAGAGATCATTTCTTGCGGAGAAAGCTATTGAAGGAAATAGGGTTACAGTACCTTGTCAGTGCACCAAGAATTTCCGTGTTCACACATAAAATCACCATTCCTAGAATGTTTTTTATCTTGTCACCTTACGTACTTGAAAATCAATCAGTCTTAAATTTTCTCCTTGATGGTTTTCCATGGCCAATTGATAATATCGATGGCTCCGTTTTGGCTAACCACAAAACCTTAAGACTCAAAGATCTAACTCTTCCAACTAGTGACGACTGGTTTTTAGGCGAGAATCTAGCGTTACATCATGATAATATCACCACTAGTATCATTATTCCTGAACTCTTATTTCTTGTTTGCTTGACGGTGTATTAAAGCGTTTAAATTGAGTGTCGTAATAACAAAGGAGAAAAGGAGAAAATGAGAACTCAACGTAAAGACAAGCAAACTGACTGAAGCGCGGGAAAACGCGTGTGACAAGTCGCAATCGGCTTTAGCTTCGAATTTGATTGGTTGCAAAAGTGGCGCGAGTTTTCTGGACCAATCACGCACAGAGCGAAGGTGAGCTTGTGATAATAATAACACTTGCAGATATCTTGTTTTGAAGCTCGCTAAAATTCAGACAGAGTTCAGGGGAACTCGGCCTGGATAAACTCAGCGTGTGTAAAGTACAGGATTCGGAAAACTTTAGGACTTACCCATCCCATATAATTTACTAACTTCTACATTATTAAGGCAGAAACACAGACGACTAATCATTGGCGAGCGAACTTTTCAAGTCATAAATCCCTTTTGAACAATTTTCCGCAATTTTAGATGATAACTTTAATCGGTTTTTAAAAAAAAGGAAATTACATCACTAAATTTCGTTCTACGTAAATGTGTTATTCTTAATTAATCCTCATGATAAAAGCTAATAGAATTTCGTGAAATAATTCTATGGTGCACTTCTAAATTTAGAAAAATTTTAGTTTTCCATTAGTCTAATCCATGCTGTACAATCCAGATTGAATTAGGTGTGTGAAGCGCATCAGCATGAAAAATTTTAAAACACATCTCGTTTAAATGCCGTAAGACCAGGATCAAATCTGTTGCAGCCGCCAATCCCAAAGAAAGAAGGATCACTAGGAGCAGACGAAAACTTTGAATAAATGCAAGGAAACTGCTTGGAGTGCTTAGAAACGCGTGTGACCAAGTCGCAGAGACGCATACGAAAACAAGTTTGCATGCACAAAATCATAGTTTAAATTGTTAATTTTCTTTAATCACCCGCTCTAGTTTGGAGAAGGATTTATTAAAAAAGGTCATTGTTTATGTTTACATGTTGAATCGATTAAAGCAGAGAATGCTTTTGCCAAATTTTTCTCCCTTTGCCTGATTCAGAAAATTGTATTTTGGCCAGTACAGGAAAACGAAAGATAATTTGTTAATCAGGTCATGTTCAAGTGTGTTACCAAAACTGCCTTGCAGAAAGTAAACCTCTTTTATCTAAGTCGTGTGATCAAGGCACAAAACATCATTGTCTTATACTTAGCTAAACAATGTTAAACACAGATGTACAAAGATTGCAATGGGCAAAGCGATTAAAATATTTAATTCAGCTGCCTCTTTGTCTCTTTGCACATACCTAACGATCTACTGATAAATCTGATCAAAAGTCTTTAAGACCGTTTAAAAATATTATTGAACTGAATTAGTTACCATGCTTCCTGTTTTGCATGAGTAGTTTTTTCATCCCCATGGGATTTCTTAAAGTCATTTTCTTTGCTTCAATATGCATAAGGCAACATCTTTATCGAATTCTTTCTTATAAAAAGAGTTAGCAAGTAATTTGGCCACGTTTGAGACGATGAGCGTTGCAGGAGTATCAAAACAATACAAGCTTAAAGAAGCTTCCTCGCTGTCATAGAAGTGACCTTTTCGAAAGTTGATCTTAGAAGCACCAAGACCTCAAATCGATAACAAGCGAAGTAAAAACCACTGCGAACAATAGATTGAATAAGAGAAATTTACCCCCTTCCTAGCGAATACAACTAATTTTCTTTTCGAAACGAGTGAGACAAACCTATAGGAACTTGCCACCGAGAAAGTTGCGCCAAACTTTTCATTGTTCCGCGAAAGCGAAAATCGCCTCTGAAAGACAGTTGATCGGTATCTAATACTCTTGACACTCAAAACAACATCACTTTGAAAAGATGTGAAGATATAAAACCTTCTCTGGGTCAATATTGTGTTTCAGATAGGAGTTTTATCTCAGATCTTATATAACACAACATAACTAATGATTTACTACTCTCTGGAAAAGAGCTGTTTACTCGTAGAATAGAAGAATGTTTATGCACCTCATAAATGCTAAATCCATTCAGATTCTTTCATTGTTTGTTGCGAGTAATGTTTAGAAAGTTGCAACCTCAATCAAGTGATCAGTGCAGAATTTATGTTTGTGCAATTCTCTTACCTTTTAAAACGTGCCGTGCTCGTGTCAACACGAAAATATTTCGAGGTATGCATTTCGCGGCAATGTCAAGCATCAAAGGTAGTCCGAACAATTGTTCGAAATCTCTTGACACATTATTCAGCTAATGTTCTTTTCGAGTAATCCCTTTACACCACAAGAACAACAAACCTGGATGACGTAGTCCAATAAAAAAGCTTGAATAACATCAGTTGAACATTAGTTAAGAAAACGTGCGCACACATCCAAACAGAATCGCAAAAACGCCCGCGACATAGCAACATAGTCGCTGCTCTGTCAAGCGCTTTGATCAAATTAAAACGAACCAATTTCGGTCGACCTACGTGAAGCAGGCTTTCCGGCCATAAGAAAAACTTGTTCTATGGTTACGACAATTTCCGCTGTCGGCTTGGTTTGAAAGAATTCAAACAATGCAGTTGGTAGAATCTTTGTTGGCTAAGTCCGAAAGCAGGGTTTAAAAAGGCAGTTCATTAAGGGTCGTTTTCGGGGTATACATTTAATTTTTTCCTCTTTCAATCGCGATATTTTAAGAGTACTCAATACAAATGCGTGACTGCAATTACAGCCTTATTTGTACGCTTCCCTCCAAAAACAAGGAGAGCGGCTAATTATGACAAGCGATTCATTAATTTTGTTTTCTTAATTTGCGAACTATTTACAGTAGTAACTCGTGTTTAAATGATTCAAGAAAAGAATACTAATGTGAAACTTTTTCAATTTACTAATTACCACTGAATATTATTGAAGAAGCTGCATGTACAATTAAACCAGCCGGATGAAACGTCTTAAATCCTGTGGTTTTTGCAGGAGAGATTATCAGCCCTACAAGTGTGCCGTCGGAAATTTTCGGTCGTATGTAATAGCCGTCTAAATAAGGAGAAACAAATGAAAATTTAAAGAAATACATGATTACTTTTAAAAGGGTACTCCAACTATCTGGGTCAGTCAGGTTTACTGATGAATTTGGAGAGAACTGAATCAGGTAAGCCCTGGATGAATGAAATTTTGATAATAGCTCAATTACGCTATCCTTGCGTTCTTCCTCCAAGAAAGATTAAAGAACACCGCATTTAAATTTCTCGTGGGTGTTCGTCAACGCGCAAGAGAGCAAAACTAGACAAAGTGAACCGAGGCGCGGAAGAACTCTTGATCTCGAAATCAAAGGTTCTTTTTTCCAACTGACGACAAAGACTTCCGGACGTACGGACATTCATGTTTTAAATTTTCTGGTGGCGTTGATAAGGAAAACTCCGCTTTCGATGCGCTTTTAGACCACCTTCATGCAAGGATACATGTTCAAGGTCGAGTGTACTATTTTCGCCAAACAGAGTCTTAGACGACAAAAATTTCATAAGCCAAGCTCTCAGTGTTCATTCGAGTTTATGTCGACTCGACTGACGGAAACGCCTCTCTTTGCTTAGAAGCCAAAATTTCATGAGATACAAAGCTTAATTAATCTTTTACCCCTAAAAGGCTCCCATGTGTCTTTTGCCTTTGCAGACACCGGAATTTATGTGCATCCAAAACCACTGAGGCTTTCATTAGCACTTCGACGTGCGAAATTCGAGTCGCGCGAAGTATGAATATGAATAAATTTAGTACGTAGGCTTACTTGAAATACTCACACACTCTCACCAATTAATCATGGAACAGTAAATCTTATTAAAAGGTTAAAATCTTTATTAAGTCTTTATTGATTAACGCGTTAATGAAAGTTGCCAGTCAAAGAGACGTCGTTGAACGAGTCTGCTAAAATAAGCTGAGCTTGGCTTGAATCAAAATTGTTGATCTTTTCAATTCAAATTAACCCCACGAGTAATCCAAATTACGCCATTTAATTGATTAATTAATACATATATGTCTACATATATATATATATATATATATATATATATATATATATATACATATATATTTATATATATTAGCAACTAGATAATTCCTACCACCACCTTAATTGATGCAAGTCAGCGTTTAGAAAAGACAATTTTAGTTCTTCTGCTTAACCGGGTGGGTGTACTACACGGACTCAGCGAGCTTAAGAAAAATCAAAAGAAAGATGGTGAAATTTGAGCGCGATCGTCGAATAAAGCAAAATTATTTGGAAGATAAAGTAGGCATAAATTGGTCTATTTGTGGTTCACATTCCTCAGTAAGATGTCTTTCTTGAATCAATCCTTAGCTATTTTCTGACACGTGGGAAAGGAAACTTGTTAACTTATTTTATCATCTTTTTTTATTTTGAACGTATCCATGTTTTTCCTAATCCACTTTTAAATTTCAAAAAAAATAAATCATCAAACCCGCATTCTTCATTAGCCCCATAGCTCAGTTTACGTTTTCTTGATTTTGTGGGTGAAATTTAGAAATTTCCACTGATATATATATATATATATCACGAATCGCGTTACAAGTGTCGATAATCCTTGCCTCTTTTCCGCTTTGATATTACTCAACAAAATATCTATGAAGTAAAACCCTTCGGTTTAAGTTATTACATCAAATCAAAGACATAGCTTTTGCGAAAGAGAACACTATGAGCTATCTTGATAGAGGAGAACAGAGACTATGTCGGAAAAACTGAATTGCAAAATATAATTTTTCTGGTGCCTTCTATACCGCATTCAACTTGAAGTATATATTGACTGTTGCAAGATCCATCTTTGTTAAATGGTAATACATTTATATCCTAAAAATGCTTGCCAAGACCTATTTCTATATTTGTTTATATTGTTTTCCTTGTTAGAAAAGTAATTTTCCTCGCATTGCTGATTGCAGAGTGAATCAGAATCAAAATATCTGCAAAAATTACTATCGCCATTACTGTTAGCCATCACTTAGACAAGAATTCGCTTCGTCGTCTCGGTCACAGACTTAAATCGAAGGAGTCGCTAAAGCTGTAATCCTTATGCTTTCATTGGCCATTTTCCAAACTGGATTACCGGTTGTGAGTACCCTAAGTGCCGTAAAATAATCCTCGTCTAGACATCCTCGAAAATAGTTTACAGGGCTTGTAGGCATTTAATCCAATCGTCGAAAGGAAGTGTCTGTTGACAGACGTTGAAGATTACGTCACCAAATTCTACCTGGCGCGACCACGCAACTACAGTCTACACAACACACTGAGTGTTTTTCCGGTTTCATTTTGCTTTGCATCTTGCTATGTTCCGTGAAATTTCAGGACTAAAGAGTTGAGACGGAAAGGAATTTCAGGCGAATCAAGAGAAGAAACTTCCTCTAGAAATTGTTGAGCGTAAAAAGGATAACGTCACGGTTACTCTGCGTGACAAAAGTACTTCCTGTTTTTTCCTCTCTCTGTTCGGTCGTTAATAGGACTGTCACGCAGACTACGTGTACGTGACGGTTTGGGAACGTTTCCCACATTGATCAATTCGCGTCAATCTTTTCCATTTTTCCTCGTGTTTATTTCTACCCCTTTCATTTCTTTCGTCTCACTTATCTAAAATTGCGTAGTCTACTTCAAGTTTAAGTCCCTGAAGACAACGATTCAAAACGACCTACCTTCTTTAATGAATAACCTTACATTCAATAAAAAGCAAAATGAAACATTTCCCTCACCTAAATGACTTATGCAAAATAAGATCTCCGTGTAAAAATATGTGAGGAAGATCTCTCGTAAAAAAACAACAAAAACAAAACAAGAATGATTTTCCTGCCCATCAGGGTTTCTTGACACAGTGAATCCTTCAAAGGAAAGACACACCCACAAATTATTTAAAGGTGCATTTGAGATGCAAACCAGTTCATACGAGCGTGAGAAAAAGAAAATATCTGAGTTCCCTGGGGTGGGAGAATTCACGTCTCTAGAAGCTGAGTTAAGAAAATTAGAGGTAGCTCTTACATTGCGCATATGTGTAAAGCATTCGGCATACGTTAAGGATTATCCAAAGTAATGTCGAAAGCGTCCTGCGAGAAAGATGTTGTTGTAGGTCGTCGAATTAAGAAATATGTTTGTATTTCTAAAGAGTCACTGATCTATATGCCCTACTATGGTTTCCAAATGATGGTCTGCAGCGACAAAAATGGTATGAGCTACAGAGCTACCGAGTCATATAAATTGCTAATCCAATAGTTGACGGAAATAAGCGAATGGATTTCCATTAAAAAAATTAGAAGGTTTCGATGGTTCTCGATTTTCTGAAACAAATCTCCTAACTTATTTTCGTTTATCTTTCTGTTTTAGTTTTCTCCCACGCTAAATTTAGATTTCCGTGATTATAACCCTTTGTGAAATAGTGGATGAATTTTCAGAGCTCACAAAAGTTGATAATTTTATTCCATCATACCATTTAAAAGAATTCTTAAAATTATTTAAAGTTATGTTTCACAATTATTTTAAAGACCAGTTCATGCAAATATTTCGTGAAGGTCTCAGAGTAAAGTGGCTGTTTCCGAAGATCTCAGACCAACGAAAAAAAAAACTTGGGAAAATTTCGCCTATGAAATCCTTAAAGAAGAAAAATAATGAAGAAAGATAAAAAGTCTAGAAGCGGAAGTCCATTTCTATTTATTCATTAAGCTAATAACTTATCAAGGTATTTACCTATTAATCTGTCGCCCTATTTATCCATCAATCTATTTTTAAAAAAATGTTGTTGCTTCTGTTTAATTCCATTTCATCTCTTCTGCGTCTGATTTGCCGCGAAACAGCGTACTAAATTCGCAATTTAAAATTTAATGGCAAGATTGCTCAGGGTCAAGCTGTAAACAATTTCCATCAGGCAGTAGTAACTAGTTGCCGGGAGTTCCCATCGATGAAAAATGTTCTACCGAAGCATGTTGTTGCTTCATCTATTTTTTTCTCATCACATTTCATGCAACGGGTCTATTTTTATTTTCTGAGGTATAGACCTCCGCTCGCACGAACCTTATGGATACGCGGAGCGATGTTTTGGCCCACGATAGGTTTATTTTTGCAAAATTTTGCCCGCTTCATTGATAATTCGTGACAGTTTGCATTTACTTTTATTCCAAACATCACATGAACAAAGGTATCCATCCGATAATGGTTTTAAGAAAATTCAATCGTGCGTTCGGCTCTAGAATCGGAATGATAAATGTTGCTACCATCTGCTTCA